TATTCAGCTCCTCTTTAAACAGGACAGGTAGGACTGCAACAGAGAAGCAATTACAGCAGGGATAATGCCCACGTGTGGATTACTGAAGGTTACCAAACCATTTCATTAATCGCTGTTCCCTCTCTTGCAGTCTCCTGAAATCACAACATACAAGCAGAAAATACTGCAGCCTCTCCACTTCTCCAAGCTGAGCTAGAACATGCTGACACTTCACACATACACAATGCTAACCTTCTCCTGCCATTGTAAATATAAGGGAATACTTTTTCCCAGATACCAGTATACAAAACCCACTGGCAAATCTCAGGTTCACAAATGTTGAGTAGTTTGTGCCCACAGCCAGCAGCATCTGTGACAATCTGTCTGGTACCTAGCTGCGAGGTCAAGATGCAAAAAATAAAATAAAATAAAATAAAATAAAATAAAATAAAATAAAACTAGGGCTGTTTGAAAACAACCACCCTATGTCTGCCATTAATAAGCAAACCGTGGATTGAACCTCTGTATCAAAGTTACATTAAAATGTCATTTCACGGCATAGAAATGGTAGTGACCGTTCACCAACAAAAGTTGTGTTGTTCCAGTGCAGAAGGACGGCATCGCAACCATCTCACCTTTCACCTGCAGCGCTGCAGTGGTCTGTTGATCTCCCGAATCACACGTATACTCCCCGGCATCCTGAAGGCCCACATCATAGATGAACAAATCCACAAAAGTCCCTTCTTGCCTTAGCTCATACTTGTTGCTGGGCCGGAGCACCATGTCTCCCTTCCTCCACTCCACCGGAGTGCTGGGCTTTGTCAGCTCGCAGCGCAGTGCTGCTGTGCACCCTTCCTCGACCTCCTCGTTCTTCAGCCAATGTTTGAAAAGCACGGGTAGGGCTTGAAAGGGGGAATTAAGCCAAAAGGAGAGGAGGTTTGCTTTTTTCAAGTGCATTGAAAAGAATTCAGATAATAATGGCATTCCTGTAGGTAGTGAGACGAGGTCTGCCTGTATTCACTTCTGATGAGGTTATAAGCATGTAGGATAGGAGAGAGGTTGATCATAGGGGCTAAGTGCAGACATGGGGCAGGTTATATCATGATAAAAATGGCCACCCAATCTCAAGAAATTTGGGATGGGGGGTGGGGGGTAGCAGAGGAGGTGGGGGGAATTGGAGGTGGAACAGGGGTCTTTGGGGGGCTAAAAATAGCCCCAGTCACCTCCAAACCACCCCACTTTCCCCCACGAGCAAGCTTCGCAGACACTGCCCCCCCGCCGATTGCTCTCATGGATCCCATCTGTCCCTGCATCCCCCCATGGATGCCTCCTGCCCCCATCATCACTTCTGCAGATCCCACCTGCCCCCCGCCATGGATGTCACCACCCCCTGATCACTCCTGTGAAACCCACCTGCTCCTCTGATCCCTCTGCAGATGCTGACTACCCCCGCCCCACGGACACTGCCTGTCCCCTCAATTGCTCCCGTGGAGCCAGGCTGAACTAAGTTAGATCTGGTGGCCATTTTTAACTTGATCTAACCTTCCCCAAAACCCTCCCAAATGTCTGCACTTAGCCAAGATGTATCAGATTCAAGGATAGTTTTCTGGTCGATCTTTTACTTGCTATAAGGTAATATTGTGAGGTGATGTATAATGTAATGTTTTACAGAGTAGTTTTGCACTGGAGGCTAACGTAGGGCCTTTGTCCTCAAAGTCTGGTCAGAGTGATGAAGGGTTTCCAACAAGACACCAGATGGGGCACAAAAGGATTTGGTTTCATTTTTCAGTTTCAACTTGGTGAGGCTGCAGGTTTGCAACAATCAGAACGAGGCCTGATGTGAAATCATCTGAGCCTCTGAAGCTGCAGCACAGACCTGCCCGGTTCCAGTTTTGACTTACCACTTTCGGCAAAATCAAGGATGATGCACATTTTTCCAAAGCGCTGCCAGTTAGGTTTGGGATTTGAAAAAGCCCAGTGATTTGAATTGGAGCACTGCTTATATAAATCAGACAGCAGTTTTAACCATATCTACAAAATAAAGCCAAATCTGTTTGGCAAACCACCATTACATTTATTTTACTCACAGAGAGCCCATGGGACAGAGGCAGCGGAGCCCATGGGACAGAGGCAGCGGAGCCCATGGGACAGAGGCTGCCCGCTGCAGGCTCGGAGCTCCCTGCCCTGCTGCTCTCCCCAGGGGATCCTCCGTGGCCCAGCAGATGGGACCCAGCATGGCAGGGCACAGTGGGGCAGGGAGGCATGGTGCCACCGGCGGAAGCCCCGTGCCCCCATGCACATGGCACTCCTCGCCTGATCGCCCTCCTCCCATTCCCCAAACCCCTTGCAGGCTGGGAGTCTGCCAGCCTGCAAGGGGAAACCTGCCATTTCCTGTGTTTTTCTCCTTGAAAAGAGAAAACCCACTTTTTTCTCCTTAAAAGAGAAAATCTGTGTTTTTCTCCTTAAAATGAGACTATTTGCATTTTACCTCCTTCTTCCATCATGAACAGGACTCCAAGGATGCCTATTGATCAGGAGAAGGCTGTGAAGATACAGCCCTGCCCCAGAACAGAATAGGGACCTGATACATCACAGATATAACTTAGGAACTTCCTGACCAGTCCTAAGAATAAGGTACTTAAGGCAAGACTGTTTTCCTCACCTAGAAATGAAACCCTTGCATTCAAGAGCAGTTTTAGGGTATAAACACTTGAGGACATAGTACTGCACTATGGCTAGTTTCAGAGCATGCACGGATGGGCACAGATTCTCACCTTTAACCTCGAGGCTGGCAGTTGTCTTCCGGTCAGCTGTGCTACAGCTATACTCCCCTGAGTCCTCAGGCTTTAAATCATGAATGGTCAGAGCATGCGTAGTCCCTTCCTTCTTGATCTCAAACTTCTTGCTGGACTGGATCAGGGACGCATCTTTCTTCCACTGCACAGCAACATCAGGCTTGGACACATCACAGCGTAGAGTTGCTGAATCGCCCTCCTGGGCTTCCATGCTCTGGAGCAGTCGTACAAATATTATTGGGGCCTCTGTAAAAATAGAGAGCAACAGCACCGCTGCATAAATGTAGCTGGGCATGGAGTCAGGGGACTCGAATATCTGTGAGCACAACAAACTCAGAACAGCTCCTTTGAATGGTGAGACTTCATCATGTGTCTATTCCATTCGTAGGAGATAAACTGGGTTGGATGGAAATCTTCCATTGGTCATGCCAGGAAAATGGAAATGGGATTTTCTTCTGTGGCCATAGGACACAGAAGTAGGAGCAATGGCCTCTAGCTGCAGCTGGGACAATTTAAGCTGCAGATTAGGAAGAACTTTGATTACGAGGGTGGTCAAGCATTGGAGCAGGCTCCTACAGAAGTGGTCGAATCTCCATTTTTGAACATTTTCAAGAAAAGGTTAGACAAACACTTGGCTGGGATTTTTTAGTCAGCGACAATCCTGCCTTGAGCAGGGGGCATGACTAGAGACTTTGTGAAGTCCCTTCCAGTCCTACTTTCCTATGATTTGCAGTAATGCAAAATGAGAACGGGTTCCCCAGCATGTAGTATTGTAGACCACAGCAGATCTGCACTCCACATGGAGCTGACTAACGACCAGGGATCCTGGTTTTCTCTGATTTAAAAAAAATAAATCCCCAATTTTCAGTTGAAAAAAAGGAACCCCAAATCTACATTTTCCATGATTAAAATGAAACACCGCTACATGTATATCTGTATATTAGTGGTGTTTCATTTAAGGCACAGAAAAATGTGGATTTGGGGTTACTTTTTTTTAATCGAAACTTAGAGATTTTTTTTAAATCAGAGAAAACCAGGATCCCTGCTAATGACATATAGCTTGGGGGATCGCTTGGGGTAAGGACACAAGTCTCCCACAGCCAGTACCAACCTGTCATTGGCGTTCCTAAAAGTCGCAGAATATTATCATCTAGAGAAAGTGGTATTGTACCAGATTCGGGATAATTCTGCCGCAGACTTCATTTTGACAACTGACTATGGCCGTCGGAGTGAGGTTCGTGCTTTCTCGGGGACATCTGATTGTGGCTGGATTGTCGCTATAGGGACATACCCAGGTTTCATAGGCAGTTGGACAAGCGTTGGATAGGGATAGTTTGGGAATGGCATTCCTGCATTCGTGCAGGGAGTTTGACCAGATGAGTCTGGAGGCCCTTTCTGTAACAAAGGTGTGCAACCCCCATGGCAGGGGAGATGGGACAGGGTCCTTTAAGGACCACCAGACAGGCTGGAGGCCACACTCCTGAGAGTAACATAAGGGAAAGGCTCCTGCTGGAGGAAGACAGACCCAGGGCAGCAACGGTGGGTAAGCCTGGGGCAAAACTCACTGAACGGGCAACAAAGAAGGCCTGATTGATTCTGGGCCTATCCAGATCGTTAAGGAGGCTGAAGAGAAGGCAGACCAGATAGAGAAAGGACATGATGGAGAAACTTAGAGCCACAAGTCTAATTTCAAAAAAGCCCTCCCATAGTCACTCAAGGGCACCCTTTAGTGTTGCCCTTGGCTGGGGACAGAGTGGCTTTCGGTATCCCCCTGATGTGGCTCTTTTAAATGTCTTATTGTGCTTGTTGAGGGGAGGGGAGGGAGTATGCATGTTGGGGGTGGCCACAGACACTCTGCAGGAGAAAGGAGCGGGATCTCCTTTGGGTGAGAGGCAGGGGTATGGGAAGTAGGTGGGCAAGGGGGCAAGGAAGTAGAGACTGATTTTCTATACCTAGATGTGAATGGGGGTTGGGAAGCACAGCTGGGATGGGAGGGATGCCCCGCTCTCCCTGGGTGCTGGGCAGGAAAGGAGGAGTAGGGTGGCATTTCTAGGGTGTCCTTTGGGGAATCTGTTGCTGCTTTGGTGGGTTGTTTGTCTTTTATTGCAAGCTGCCCTGAGCCTTTCTGCCTAGGGCAGGACATATATCTAAACAAATAGGTCAACAGATAGTAAGAAAATAACTATTGCAATGAAACCACACATCTCATGGGGTTGGCTTGCTCACCTTGCACTGTGAGCTGGGCCTCAGAGGTATGAGCCCCCACTTTAACATTGATGGGACCGGAGTCTTCCAGCGTAACCCTCCGCAGGGTCAGGGTGTGAAGCTTCCCTTGCACTTGGATCTCATTCATTTCATTGACCTGGAGAGGGACCCCCCCCAGGCACCACTGCACATCCCGGACGTTCTCCCGGGAGAGTCTGCATTCGAACACGGCATCCTCTCCTTCATACAAGGTGATGTCCTTTAGCACCTCCACTATGTTTGCTGCTGGCTCTTTGACAGAGAAAGTTAAAATGGTTTTAAGCACATCTTCAAACATCTCACTGCGCTCCCCTGTTTTAAACACCCATCATCATCATCATCATCATTAACAACGTGGCATGTTCAAAGCTCTGTGGGCATTTACCACAATATTATTCTGGGAATATGCAAACATTTCTCAGTAAATAATATGAACCTCTTGACTCTCTAAGAGCCTTGCTGTGCTTCTGCAGAAGTCACAGGCCGAACTCTTGTTCTGCCAGGACCAGATGCAGCAGGATATTATTTTACCACACTGTGATGACACCGTATTTCACTGCGCTGCCATGCATATGAGCTAAAACGATCCATCAGTCAAAAGCCAGTGCAAAGGCCCACCTTTCACAGACAGTGCTGCAGTGGTTTGCTGGTCTCCCGTGTCGCAGGTGTACTCCCCAGCATCGCCGTCCTTCAGGTTACAAATTGTCAACTCGGCCACGAGGCCTGACTGGTTCATCTTATACTTGTCACTGGGTTGCAGCAATTTCCCTGACTTCTTCCACTTGACAGGGGCATTGGGTTTAGAGATCTCACAGCTCAGGGTGATGGTGCCACCCTCTTCCGCTTGCTGATTCTGCAGCGGTTGTATAAAAAGCACTGGCAAAGCTAAGCCAAGATAAGCAGGAAAAGACACAATTACTCTTCATTTGTGACCCTCTTTAACTGACTTTTTGAGATGCCCCTGATCAAGGGCTGTTCTCTAGTCTGCTGACTTTCATACGCAGGTGTGCCATTTGATCCTCCTCCCAGCAGAATCGGAGTCCCGCAGGAACAACAGGTTAATTCGTTTCACATCAACATTAGCGATTGTAGAAATGAACCCTCGTGGGCTTGTTGGGTCTAAGCGATGCTTACAGTAAACCACAGCAACCCTTACATGCTTTCCTAAATGCTGTTATTCTTGGGGTGCAAATCTAGGAGGCCTCATTTTCTGAGATGCTGAATACCCAGAACTCCAGCCCAAAACAAGAGAAACGGCTGGCCGCTTAGCGCCTTCTTCAAATCAGCTCACCGTTCCCAGAAGCAGAAGCCCATGCTGTAACATGAGCATTTTGTTCTGCATTTGGGTACCGACCTCAGCACTCAAGTGCCTAAATTGGATAGTTAGGTTGCTGGAACACAAAGGAGGACTTGAGCATCTGCCTTAATATGCCCATCTCAGAAAGCTGGATCTGGTAAAGGAACTGCTTGCATTAACGCCAACAGTGGGTAAATTTGGTATCGATGACGTGTGAGGGGAGAGTTACAGGGGAGAGAGGTTTTGTTCTGAAAATATAGGAGGCGTTGATAGGAAATAAATGTGGGGGTTGCTTGTACACGCCACAGCCATTATGCAGCAGGTGCTGAGGACACCAAAATGGCTGGGTTGCTTGTACACACCACTAAACTGTTTAGTTCTCCCTAAATTGAAATGGTGGGTTTTTAAAAACACTGTTTCAATTTAGGGAGAATTAAACCAAACTAAACCCTCGTGGCATGTACACAAAGGTGGGGGCCCGATCCTTACCTGCCTCTTTGGCAGCAGGGAGAGGAGGGAGCTGCTGGCAGGCTGAGTGGTCCCTGAGCTGCATGGGGACACCCACCCGCTGGCACCTGGCCCGGGAGGACTTGAGGGGCACCACAGCTGTGGAGGGAAGCATTTATACCCCCTCCCCCCCCGCATGAGCTGCTGCTGGGTCCCACCACCCCTGAGCTGTGCGGGGCCCGCCAAGCCCTGAACACATCGGCTTCCAGTGCCCCGTGCACTGCTGCACTTTGTTAGGTAGCAAACTAAAACACCTCAGAGGTGTTTTATCTTGCTACGTACCAAAGTCATCTAAAGTGGAATATGCCACTGAGCATGCAAACAGCAACACCATTAAAGTGGTGCAAAAGGGCATTTAAGCCACTTTAAAGGCCAATTTTGTGGTGTGTACAAAGTCCCATGGGTGTCGTGCACAGCTGCTGGACTGTAGTCCCCGGGGGGTTATAGGGCAGCTGCATTTGAGGACTGTGGAAAGGAAGGGAAAAGGGTCATTTTGTGGTGGTGCAGCCTCCTCATTGCTGTTCCGGGCATCCTAACAGCCAGCAAGAACACGCGTTACATTGGAGAACCTATACCATAAATAAGCTGCCTGAATAACAAGAACCACAGAGGCCCCATGATGCCTCTGTCTGCCTACAGCCTGCATGGAGACACTGCTAGGCTTATGGCAACAGTCACAGATGGAGGCTGCAGATGGAAGTGCTGCAACACTTTATAACTGTGGGTGCCGAGGGGATGTGCTCAGTGCTCCAGAGTCCTCGAGCTTCATACCACATGGAGAACAGACGCATTCAAACTATACCCGAAATGTGTAAAAAGGGACAGGAAATGCCTCGTCACCTTTTACCAGCAGCGATGCAGTACTCTGCTGATCACCAGAATCGCAGGTGTAGTCTCCGGCATCCTTCAGCTGCACGTCACGAATCAGGAGCTCCACATGAGATCCCAACTGCCTCATCTCATACTTGGCACCGCTTTGGAGCAGGACTGAGCCCTTTCGCCACTTCACTGGCGCATCGAGTTTTGAGAGCTCAGCGTGCAGGGTGGCAGTGGAGCCCTCCTCGGCTTCTTGGTTCTGGAGGGTCTTTTCAAATAGTGCTGGAATGCCTGGGACCCCCCGAGAAAAGCAAATCGGGTCACCTAGCACACCGTTCAGTACACCCATCCCCACACAGCACAACGGCGCTTGGTTCACTGGGGTGCACCAGTAACTGGGGACCTACTTCATTTGTGGTTTCACAGATTTCATGGAAACCACCAAATTCAGGAGTGTCCACGAAATCTGCAAAATCAACAACAACAAAAACTTAATGAAAATGAAATGCTGGCTCCCCAGTGGAAGCCAGCAGTCCTCGTTGCCAGGAGGGGAAGGCGCCAATTGGTGTGGTGGGACAAAGAGCAGTAGATAAGACAAGACAGCTATGGCCCCCTCGTCTCTCTTCCCCCGCTGGGGCCTCTGCGCTAATCAGCGCCAAGGGGCAAGGCCACACAAAGGGCAGCCAGCAATCAAGATGGTGGCTGCGCCTTCATCCCTCCTCCCCCACAGGGCCTCTCCGCCAATCAATGCTGACGGGCAGGGCCACCATGAAATGACCACAGAATGAGAACTTAACACCATGAAAATTGGTAAGTCTCCCCTCAATCTAGATAGATCCCTACCAATAGCAGGTGCAATGAAGGGTCATACTACAGCCAAATGAAACTGGTAGAGTCTTCAAGTGACAATTCCCATGTGACGTTTTGACTTGTTTCACTTCCCCTGAACTTTGAGACCAATTCTGTGTCTTAAAATAACAAAATAAAATAACATGTCTGACATAATGTATTTTTATACATAGTTTCATAGTTTCTAGGGTCGGAAGGGACCTGAGCAGATCATCTAGTCTGACCCCCTGCCATGGCAGGAAAGAGTACTGGGGTCAAATGACCCCAGCAAGGTGGTCATCTAACCTCCTCTTAAAAACCCCCAGGGTAGGAACCTGCACCACTTCTCTTGGAAGTTGGTTCCAGACCCTAGCTGCCCTGACCGTGAAGTGGCACCTTCTGATATCTAGCCTGAATCTCCCCTCTGCCAGCTTGTGACTGT